CCTCGACCTGCTGGGCTCCGGCGATCCTTCCGCCTCAGCCTTCCAAGTAGCCGGAATTACAGGTGTGCGCTACCACGCCCGGCTAATTCATCTGCAAATAATTGCAAATTATTCTCACACTACTCTCCATCAGAAAGTATTAGTTTCTCACAGTTTTACTCACCACTGTGATGATGGCTTCTATCACTATAACCTAATTCTTTTCTCAAAGTCCGTCAGTGGTGAAGGAGGACATCATCTCTGCTTCAAGGTCCTGCTGTCATTCCCCCCCAACACTTACACAGACAAGCCCCTGTCATTCCAGATTGGTTCCTCCTTACTGTTTGTCTCTTTCTCCTAGAACACTCCAAGTCACGAGTGTGGTTTCTCCATTATATTTTGCCGAGTTTTATTTTATACTATTTTATTGTACACCATGATGACTCTTGGACTCACCTCTTCTATATCTTACATCATATCTCAGACCCTAACTGCTTCATGTCTGAATGCATCAGATGCCTTTGCTGGTCCCACCTATAGTCCCCCTCTTTTCTCCCTAGACCATCCCATCACCCTCTCCAAAGTGCCCATGTTTATTTGGTGCACTGGATGGATCAAGGATCGACTCAGTCTCACTTTTTTGTATGAGATCCAGTTGAACTTGCCTGTTCTGGAACTCTCGGCCCCTCCCAGTCTGGCATTATTGAAATCAATCAACCCTATTTCCCACCACCCTGCAGGAAGCACTTCGTATTCTAAGTCCTCTCTCCCCTTACTCCTGCCCCTACAAAACATGCCATGTTCATTCCATGGTGGCCATTTTGCTCTTACCATTCCCACCCCACAGGTGCCTGCTTTCTACTACTCACCCTTCTCAGAGGTCTATGCATGTTCCACCTTTCTTAAGAAGACCCCCGAACATACTCCAGTCACATAGTTTTGCTACGTGTGCCTCATCTTTTAATCTGAGAGTGTTGTTTTCATTTTTTAAATTACTTCATGTGTATAAGTTTTATTTTCCAAAAAAAAAAAGGTAATCTCCTTCAGGACAAAGTTCATTCTAAGAAATCTTTTGAACTAAACCAAATCCAAAATATAGCTTAGAGTGAATGCGATATGAAATAGATGCACTAATTATCCTCTAAAAATATGAGTTCAATTATACCTGTGGTGATAGAGACATTATACATTCAACAAACCTGTTGTCTTTCATTCTGAGCACAAGGAAGATTATACTTCCCTGCGTCCCTTGCAGTCAGGTGGTGAAGGTCTAGCAGTAACATCTGAACACAAGTTAGGTCCACCACTTATAGGCACAGGGCCTAACACCCCTCCCACATGACATTCGATGCTGAGTCCTCCACTGGACCTTCAGTCTTCTCAGCAGAAGGTCCGGTGGAAGACTCAGCATTTGTAGGGCAGTACTATCCAGTAGAACTTTCTGTACTGATGGCAATGTTCTGTATCTTCACTACCCAATATGGTAGATATTGACCATATGTAACTATTGAGCACTTAAGGTAGAGCTAATGCAACTGTGGGACTGAATTTTAATTGTATTTAATTTAGTTATTTAGTTTCAGTTAATTGTATTTTATTTAGTTATTTTTTTCAGCTTTGAGAAAAGCTGTATTTATTTTTTATAAATTTTCAAATAGCAAATACAATAGAATATAAATCATTCTACCAAAAAGACACCTGCACTCCTATGTGATTCAGTTAATTTAAATTTAAATAGCCATGTGCTCCCAGTGACTACTGAACTGGACAGTGTAATCCGTGGGAGGTGGTACCATTAGATGGAAACAGTTCTGGTCCCTGAATGACCCTGTGGAGCAGAGTTTTCCCCTCCTCCATCAACAATTATATTGGGCAGTTAGTTGAGCAAGAAACAACACTATAAAGGTTTAGGTTCCTGAGAGATTTAGCTGTTAGTTAGAGCAGTTAGCTCACTCTGACAAGTAAAATTGTTTTCTAATAAAGCAAAACAATCATTATTTTCTACTATGAAAACTTTTTGATGAACTTATGAACCCAATATTACAAAAATATCCTTAATATACTGAAAAAATGAGGGATTCATCTGCAAATAATTGCAAATTCCCATAGAACTATTGTTATGGGGATTATTCTATTTTTACCTCTTTTATATGTGGGAATAAGTACGGTTATTAGATGTATGATGTATCTTCATGGACATATTTACTCACATGTCTTTCAACTATTCACTCTACAACAGTCAATGCCAGCTAGTGCTTTTTCTTTTTTTTTTTTTTTTTTTTTTGTTGGAGTCTCACTGTGTCGCCCAGACTGGAGTGCAGTGGCCGCTCCTGGCCACCGCAGCCTCAACCTGCTGGGCTCCGGTGATCCTTCCGCCTCAGCCTTCCGAGTAGCTGGAATTACAGGCATGCGCCACCATGCCTAGCTGATTTTTTGATTTATTGTAGAGATGAGGTCTCACCGCCCAGGCGGGTCTCGAACCGGCGGGCTCAGGCAATCCACTCACCTCAGCCTCCCAAAGGCGCGGGATTATAGGCTGAGTCACCGAGCCCAGTTAGTGCTTTTTCTGAAACTGATATCTTAGAGCAAGGTGGAAAAGATTAATTGAGCCAGTCAGTAATTAAACAGCACAAGGAACAAAAGTTCAACAGAAGCACCGTTTGCTGGCTTGTCCACTGTTAGTCCCCAGCAGAGTTGCCAATGTCACCATCTGCATCAATGGGATGTCATATCCACAGCATACGTCCTACCCTGTCCTTTCCTCTTCTACTCACTTTGTACTTTCCGATATAAGGGTGGCGGCCTCCAGTGATTAACATGTCTTCTCCTCGTTCCAGAACGCAACGAACTGCACGACCATGTCTAAAGCAGAATAAAAGCAAGAGAGGTAAACTCTTGACCAAGTAGACATGATTTGGGGTTTCTGTAAGTCCTGGGCAGAGTCTGAGCGGAGTTGAGTGGTGCCCACATCTGCCACACTGGGTCTCTGCTGACCTCACACATCCACAGTGGCCTCCCTCCCTTTGGGTCAGGGCTTGATGTCCAGCATTTGCTACCTGTGGGAGGGAGGCTCTTGGGTACCAGAGGCTCCAGGCCATGCTTTGGGGGCATTTCCCACTGTGATGACAGTCTTGGCTATAATCAAATAGTACCAGGGTCTTATTTTAGACTGGCCACAAATGCCGTGTAACACCAAGTGCTCCCTGACAGGACAGCTCTGAAATCGAGGTCTTTTTGCTTCCTGGGATAGAAGAACTGACTCAACAAAGAAATTAAGCCTTCTCGGTGTGTCTAATTCAAAGACAATTCCTAGGAGAATGTTCTGAGATCATCAAAGGAAAATAGCAATATAAATGAATATAAGCATGACAAAAACAAAGTCTCTATTTAATCAAGAGAACATACAGGATTCAAAAACTCCTATCTATGACCTATGCATATATAGGGCAGTCCAACAGGTAATGGGAACAAGTAACCCCATCCATTTAGGACCTGTTTCTGTCTATTTTATTCTATTTATTTTTTATTTTATTTTATTTGAGTTGGAGTCTCACTCTGTCACCCAGACTGGAGTGCAGTAGCCGCTCCCGGCCACCACAACCTCGACCTGCTGGGCTCTGGCGATCCTTCCGCCTTAGCCTTCTGAGTAGCTGGAACTACAGGCGCACGCCACCACGCCTGGCTAATTTTTTGATTTATTGTAGAGATGAGGTCTCACCAAGTTGCCCAGGCGGGTTTCGAACCTGCAGGCTCAGGCAATCCACTCACCTCAGCCTCCCGAAGCACGGGATTACAGGCTGAGCCACCGAGCCCAGCTTCTGTCTATTTTAATTTTACCACTGTGGCTTTTATTCTTTCCAGTAATTGATTTATTGTGGTTCTTATAAGATGTAGCTTGACAATGTAAGACAGAGAAGTTGTAATACACTGAGAGCTTGTTTGTATGTTTGTGTATCACATGTGATTTTAAATAATCTCGGCTCAGATTCTTCCTCACTAATCTTGATAATGAGAACTTTCAGCGTGATTCATTTTCTTTTTAGTGTATTTAGCAGATTTTCTCCACTTACTTATTTGCAGCAAAAGCAGTGACAGCAGCCATGATTCCAGTTTTGACCGTCTTCCCCCCAAATGCCCCACCAACACGCCTTACATGACACATGACCTTGTTAGCCGGGAGCTTCAAGACTGAGGCAACTATGTCCTGTGAATGATAACAGTTCTGATTAATCTGGCCCATCTTCAGAGAGAAGATTAACTGTGACTATCATTATCACACCCACGACCTTAGCAGAAAGAAACTGTCCCCTGAAATGGAAGCAGAACAGCCACAAAGTGTTTGGATTCCATAATGTACACGACACCCACTCTGTGTGGTTGTGCTAAATACCAGGACAATGTTAAAAGACCTCAGCATGCCTCTCCAAATGATCCAAGTCATGCTTGGCTATAATGACATTGCCCAAACTATTATTAAGTAGCCCTTTCATTGCCAGGGAGATATTTTTGTGCTAATATTTCCCCATAAGCCCCAACCAAGTATCTTTTTCACATGAATCCCTGGGGAGGTGTTTCCAAGGTAGTGAGGTCTCCTGGTCTCCTTAGCTTCTCGGTTTGGGTCTTCTTTCTGTATCCTGCTGTCTCCACTGGAGAATGAGCACTTCTATCTCCCATGTGAACCATGGCTAAGGTTGACCAGTTGGTCTTTTCTGGATGCAGATTTTGCTCTTTCTCACCATCATAATGTCTAGAGGTCATTTATCTAGATAGGGAGCCCCAGGCAGATGACATGATGGGCTTAGTGAAGAGCAGAGCAGGCCTGGATGGAGTGCATTGATCTTCTCGGGGTCCTGCCTTCCATAAGGCCTCATCCTCCACATTCTCACTTGCCTGCTTCTCTGGGAGCAGCACTGGCTCCCAATGACCGACTGAATCAAGACCCCTCTGCACTGTTTCTCTTACTTTTACCTAATGCTTCAACCTAGCTCCCAAAGGCACCCTCCATTCCAGCTTGGATAGTCTTTGTGCTGTTCCTACTTCCTTACATTCATGCTGCCTCAGATGCAGGACACAGGCAACAGATGTTTGCAGAATGAATGAATGAATGAGTGGAATTTGATCTTGCTGTGGAATTGCCTGGAAATGGCCTCTCTTCTACCATCTAGATCAACCTCACTCCCACTGTAAATCTGCACTTAAGACTTCTGCATGGGACTTCCTGGATGATTCTAGTTCTCAGCAAATGCTTTTTTCTCTTAATGTCTCCACCCATGTAAACATGGACCTCACTGATCTAGCACTAGCTCCATCCGCTTCCGTACTGCTTTCTAACTGCTCCATTTGAACTAGGACACCACATTTCTTTGGATGGCAGGACTTTTACCTTTTTATTTTGTGTTCTTTTTTTTTTTTTGATTTGGGGTCTCACTCTGTCACCCAGGTTGGAGTGCAGTGGCCACTGCAGCCTCAACCTGTTGGACTCAGGCAATCCTTCTGCCTTAGCCTTCCAAGTAGCTGAACTATAGGTGTGCACCACCACATCCGGCTAGTTTTTTTATTTATTATAGAGATGAGGTCTTGCCAAGTTGCCCAGGCTGGTCTTGAACCAATGGGCTCAGGCAATCCTCTCACCTTGGCCTCCCAAAGTGCTAGGATTATAGTGTGAGCCACCGCATCTGGGCCTCTTTTGTGTTCTTAATGGTGTCAAGAATAGAGCAAAAGAGACCTGCTTGGGAGGGCACAGTGGCTCATGCCTGGAGGATATCTTGAGGCCAGGAGTTTTAGATCAACCTAGGCAACATAGACCTCATCTCTACAAAAAAAATGTAAAAGTAGCCAGACATGGCGGCGTATACCTGTAGTTCTAGTGACTTGGGAGGCTTAGGCAGAAGGATCACCTGAGCCCAAAAGAATGAGGCTGGGGGGAGCGGTGATTGTGCCATTGCACTCCACCCTGCTACAAAATGAGGTCCTAACTCAAAAAAAAAAAAAAAAAAAGAAAGAAAGAAAGAAAGAAAGAAAAAGAAAGAAAGAAAGAAAAGATCTGCTTATTCTATAATTGGTTTTGAAGTTACCATCCACAAAGCAGTGTCCTACTTTAATAATACTTCTAAAAGCTTTGAAATCATATAGCTATTAGTGCCCAATATGGCTACTAATACTCAATATTTTTTCAGTTTCTTTAGATATAGGGTCTTGCTCTGTCACGCAGGCTGGGTGCAATCATATATAAATCACGGCAGCCTCAAACTCCTGGGCTCAAGGGATCCTACTTCCTCAGCCTTCCAAGTACACTTTAATCTCTAATTGCTCTTGATCTATTTAGCTGGCAGAAATCATTGAAGTATCTTCCCTCCACAATGGCCCCATGTTACCTGTATATATTTGGGAAACTGTGTGGACACATAAACATCCATTTCTTGATCCTCTCCCTTGGGAACAGCAAGCATGCTTTGAGTTTCCATATAAAAATGTTCTTGACCTCCCATATGTATTTCACCTGTTATAGGAAAATACATAAAGTCAAGAAAGCAGTCAGAAAGAATGGTAGTGTCCCCCAGCTGTTACCCTATTATGTAGACATTCCACTCATAGTGCTTCTGTTAGGGTGACTGCATAGTGAAGAGAAACACACAACAATGTCTATTTATTTATTTATTATTTTTTTGAGTTGGAGTCTCACTTTGTTGCCCAGGCTGGAGTGCAGTGGCACACTCACGGCCACCCCAGCATCGACTTGCTAGGCTTCGGTAACCCTTCCGCCTCATCCTTCCAAGTAACCGGAGCTCCAGGCGCGTGCCACCACGCCCGGCTAATTTTTGATTCACTGTAGAGACGAGGTCTTGCCTGGGCTGGCCTCAAACCCACGGGCTCAGGCAGTCCACTCACCTTAGCCTCCTAAAGTGCTGGGATTACAGGCTGAGCCACCTAGCCTGACCACAACAACGTGTATCAACTTTCAGTATACTTGTAGATCTGAAGTCGAGTTCTGTAGGGGGATCTCTTGTGTCTGCCAATAGGCTAGGTCATAGAGTATTAGGGAAAGGTGTGTGACTTTCTAGAGTCAAAACACTATGGTAGGAGACTTCCCATTCCAGGACAAGATGGAGTAGATAGATGTCTCCCTGTTCCTCCTGCTAAGTACAGCTAACAACCCTGAACATTATATACAGAACAAATATAAGAAGACTCAAAGATGGAGAGAAGAAGACAGACCAGCTAGAGACTTCAGAATCCATGGAAAACACAGCAGTAAGTTCAGTGGGTTTTGTTGTTACTATTGTTGGAGTTTGCCTTATATATCTCACCCTCAGGTCTGGAGAAGCTAGCAATATAAAAACACCAACAGGCAAAGACATAAAAAACTTCACAAGAAAAGCCCACTCTCTCTAACCAAAAGATGAGAAAAGGAGAATCCCAGGAAGACAAAATAATTTAAGACAACAAGCATTCTCATCTAGGCAATCACCACAGAAAAAACTGCAGTCCATTCTCATCAGCCTGAATATATGGTGTTTCAACTCCTGTGCTGAGGCAGTATCAGTGGACAGCACATAGGAAACCTGGACTTCTAACTTCCACCTGGCAGTAACAAGGTACCACCCCCTTGTTCCCTGTCAGCAAAGGTTTAGAGTAGTCTAGTGACACAGAAGATTCTAGTAAAATAAGATTTAAGTGAGATCCAGAGTCTCTAACATAATAACCAAAATTTCCAGGATACAATATCATCACTCATCATACAAAGAACCAAGAAAATCTCAATGTCAACAAGGAAAGACAATCAAGAGATGCCAACACTGAGATGACACAGATGCTGGAATTATGTGACAAGGATTTTAAAGCCACCTTCATAAAAATCCTTCAGCAACAAATACTTTAAACACATGAGACAAATGAAAAACTAGAAAGTCTTAGCACAGAAATGTAAAGTACAAAAAAAAACTACATGGAAATTTGAGAATTTAGAAATACAACTACCGCATTAAAAAGTTCAACAGACGGACCCAGCAACAAAACAGAGAGAACAAAGGAAATGATCAACGAGCAAGAACATAGAACAACAGAAATTGGCCAACCGGAACAAAAGAAAAGTAAAAGAGTGGAAAAAATGAGCAGCTTCCGGAAACTGTGTGGTTATAATAAAAGATCTAACATGTGTAACACCGAAGTCAAGTATTTGAAGAAATTATGTATGAATATTTCCCAAACTTGGCAAAAGACACAAACCTACAAATCAAGAAGTTGAGTGATCCCAAATAGGATTAATCCATAGAAATGCACGCCAAGACACATCATGGTCAAAATGTAGAAAACTAAAGACAAACACTATCTTGAAAGCAGCAAGAGAGAAACATGACCTCACCTATAGCAAAAAGAAAAACACTTTGAAAGATAGCAGATTTCTCATCAGAAACTATTGAGGCTGTAAGAAATGCACAAAATTTTTACAGTGCTCAAAGATGTCAACAGAATTCTATAAGCAGTGAAAATATCTTTAAAGAATGTAAGGGAACTCAAGACATTCTCAGATGAAGGAAAATTAAGAGAGTGTGTTTTCAAGAACACCTACCCTAAAATAATAGCTGAGAAAAGTAGACAGGAAATGAGTTTTTAAAAAAATACATCTTAGAACATCAAAAAGAAAGAAAGGACAACAAAAGGAATAAAAATACAGACAAATACAATAGACGTTCCCTTTCCTCTTGTGTTTTCTAAATTTAGTGCTTGAAGCAAAATTATAACATTGCTTCACAAGATTCTCAATGTATGCAGAAGAAATTTAAGACAATTATCAATTATAAATAGGGAACAGTAAAGGAAGTAAGTTTTCTATACTTGAACTGGCAAAATGTTGATTTCAGACTATGATACTATATATATATATATATATAGTATAGATTTTATTACCTATATTACCATCTAAAGCTACTACTAAAAAAATACATACAAGGGGTTATACTCAAAAACACTATAGATAAACCAAAATGAAATTCTAAAAAATGCTCAAGTAACCCACAAGAAGGCAGGATGAAAAAAATGAAAAGCAAAGGAAACAAACAGAATACAATTATGACCCATTGTCCTATTAGGTTGTGGAAGGTGGAACTTTTAAAAATTAAAAATGCCCCCAATAATAGTGATTTGCAAATTGTTTGAGGGAGATTCCCAAGGAAATCTTTATTATTAGAGTCTGGACTTCCTATGTCATCCAAAAATCTAAGTAAAGACAGAGCAGAGAATGACTAGATTCTGCTTCCCTTACAGCTCAGCTCTTAACTTCAGTTTAAGCTTTCATCAAAGTCTACCTCAAATTGATGGGTTGCAGTATTACCGATTCTGCCCAGCCACTCAGAATTTATTTTGTGTTCACTATTAAAAATACAGAACGGAGTATATATATACATATAAAATAGAGCTATCCCTGCTTAAACCTATAAAGTAGGCAAAGTTTTAGAACTCTGTAGCACTGACCACTCCTACAGCATTTAACTATGGTGCCCTCTCTTCACCCTAAGGTGTTGCTCTCAACTCTCTAGGTTGGAAACCAATTTAAAGAACTAATCCCTGAGATAACATTTTATTCCACTACAGGTTTAGGAGGGATTCCTTCAGGCATATTTACATTTTAATAAGAGACCCTTAAATCTTCAAATCTTCTAAGATATGAAGGTGTCTATCTGTACCATGCCCAAAGGGACAGGTTGTAGGAAAAATAATCTGTTTCCGGGCTCTCTAGGTCTCTTGCAAATCCTGCCATACAGATTGTCATCTGTGTTTGTTGGTATAAAGCCCATCCCAGCTAACAGAATTTTAAAGAGAAAAAGGAGGCACGGGATGATGCAGAGGAAAGAACGCTAACTTCAGAATTGGGAAACTCAGATTTGATCCTAGTCAATCATGTTGCCTTTCTGGACTCAGCTGGTTCATTTGTAAGCAGCCATCTTTAACACCTTTCTGGAGCTGTGATGCTAGGATTGGGTAGGGCTGAAATAGATCTTTACAGTGGGTGGAAACAAGCCATAACACCACTCCCCCCAAGAACGCATTCTAACGTGATGCAATGCTCCACATATTTCATCAATTTTTTTTTCTTGGAACACCTATTTTTTAAGGGACAGATAAGTGTTGTTATGTGACACTGTTATGATGATTACTTCCAGTTACCACTGGCAGTCAAAAATGAGAAAAGCTAAAAATCCTTAATCCAAATGACAATAGCAGAGAAAGAAAAACAACAACAAAACAGATTCAAACTAGTGAGCCAAGAGATTGAAAACTGAAAAGTAGTGTAAATATCCTTTTATAGATTCCTGTATCATTTGTATAATTACCAACAGGGTATGGAGCAATAACAAGTGAGAATTCAAGTAAGAGACAGGCTGGACCAATCACCTGACTGAATGAAATAATTAGATAAGATTCCAGGGAAAGTGACAGTAATGGAATTCTCACACAAAAACTTACTACAGCAAGAACCTATCATGATGAGGGAAGCTCCCCAAATATTGATATTCCCAAGGTATCCACACCATGAATCCCCTAGGCCAGAAATGCACCCTCCTTCCCTCTTCACTCCAATAAATCAAACTCACCCAGCATATGCCACATTTTATGAATCCTAAGAACCACTTGGAAAACTTGTTAAAACAGATTTCTGGACTACCTTAGATCCTTTAGAATTCTAAAAAGCGGGGGGGGATGTGTGAGCATAGGGTGACCCAGGTCTCATAAACATTCTCAGTGGCTCTTATATGAGGAAATCTCAGAAACACTGGGTTTGATAAATGAATACCTGCCAATGTGTTGGCTCACTAATAGATGACCTTTCTAGAGAACAACAACAAAGTTATCTAAACCTAGTAATTGTTGCTCACGTTATTGATCTCTTAGAATGTGCCAAGTACATATGTCTTAACGTCATCATAACACACCTTGAGACTGTTTTTATTTTATCCACATAATCGTAAAACAAGGAGACTGAGCCCTGAGAAATGCCCTACCAAGGTCCCACGGTTAATAAGACAGGATGCCAAGGAAGGCTGGCAGGTGATAGTACAAAGTATCTTCCCTACAGCTTCCAGATGACATTCTCCAGTCAGACCTGGCCAGCCTCAGGTTTAACACAGCTATGGAGTTCAGAGACATTATAGGCTTTGAACTCAAGGGGTTAGGCTGATGGGTTATATAGCACACAGCTTCGGCCCTGCTTGGGACTCTTCCTGTGCTTTGGATCAGGGCTAGAGAGAAAAATTAAGATGAGAGTTTTTAACATGCACCAATATTCTGGAAATTCACTTAACAGATAATGCTAAAAGGCTCCTCCTCTGCTCTGAGATGTGACACAGGCTGACCACATCCACTCAGCTATGGGTAGGTAAATCAGAGATCTAGTGAGGCAGGCATGAAGGATGACTTTCACAGCATGGATGATGGCAGGGCACAGCGGGGACAGTGTGGGCTACTTAAGACCTGTGATAGGTATTTCTTAAAAGATTTGGCCTGGCATGGTGGCTCGTGATAGTAATCTCAGCACTCTGGGAGGCTGAGACAGAAAGATTACTTGAGCCCAGAAGTTCAAGACTACTCTAGGCAACACAGCAAGAACTTGTCTCTACAAAAAAATTTAAAAACTAGCCAGGCATGTTGATGTACACCTGTAGTCCCAGCTATTCAGGATGGCAGAAGGATTGCCTGAGTCCAGGAAATTGAGGCTGCGGTAAGCCATAACTGTGCCACTGCACTCCAGCCTGGGTGACAGAGTGAGACTTCGACTCCAAATAAATAAATAAATAAATAAATACAATAAAACATATTATTGAGACAATTGGCAAAAGCTGAATAAGGTCTACAGACTAAATAATAACATTTTGTCACTGATAATGTTCTGATTTTGATAACTGCATGTTCATGCAAGAAAATGTCCGGCTGTCCTTAGGACCGAAATACTGACTACTTAGGGGTAAACAGATATCATATTTGCAATTTACTCTCAAGTGGCTCAGAAAAAAATATGTGTAGAAAATATACATATAGAGAAAATATATATTTACGTACAGAGAAAGCAACAGTGAGAGAATGATAAAGGAAGTATAGGAAAATATTACCCTTTCTCCTTTGCTTTGGGAATTGGAGAATCTGGATGAAGGATAATTAGGAGTTTCTTTAATGTGTCTGCAACTTTTATGTACGTTTAAAATTATTTCAGGGCTCATTGTGGAGACTCATACCTGTAATCCCAGCACTTTGGGAGGCTGAGGTGGGAGGATTGCTTGAGCCCAGGAATTTGAGGCCAGCCTGGCAACATAGCGAGACCTGGTCTCCACAAAAAAAATCAAAAAATTAGCCAGGCATGGTAGTGTGCACCTGTAGTCTTAGCTACTTGGGAGGCTGAGGCGGAAGGATCACCTGAACCCAGGAGATTGAGGCTGTGGTTATGGTGCCACTGCACTCCAGCCTGGGCAACAGAGCGTGAGCCTGACTCAAAATCATAATATTAATAATAATAATAAAATAAAACAAAATTATTTCAAAATAAAAAGTTAAGAAACTACTGGAAAATTATAGTTAGTGGTTTTCTAAGAGGCATATTTAATTTTGACTCATACACATAAGGGAAAGACATCTGGGAGAAGAGGAAGGAAGAAGTGGGAGTGGAGAATGAGAGAGAGAAGAGATGAAAGAGAAAGAAACACGGATGGGAAAGCCTAAAAAAGGCTGTCAAGTCAACGGCCAACTCCGTCACTTAGCTGCAGTGTGACCTTGGTCATGCTCCGTAAACACTCTGCGCCTCAGTTTCCCAGCCTGTAAGACGGGGATAATAATACTCCCTTGCAGGTGGATTGTGACCGGGAAAAAATATGGCATCTTTAACACCGGGGCCTTGACAAAGGCAAGGGTCGGCCGAGGGCAGGGGTCTCACCTCCTGAGGGCGGGGTCTCGCCTCCCAAAGGCGAGTCTCATCTCCCGAGGGCGGGGTCCCCCTTGCTGGGGGCAGGATCTCGCCTCCCGAGGGCAGGGTCTCACCTGCCGAGGGCGGAGTCTCCCCTGCTGGGGGCGGGGCTCTCCTCCCGTGGGCGGGGCCTCACCCGTTGGGGGGCGGGGCCTCGCCTCCGGTCCCGCTCGCCCACCAGCTCCCCTCCCACCCAGAGAGAGGGAAACGCATCTGCGAGCGAGGTGCCTGCGAGCGAGGTGCCTGTGGCAGGAGCAGCCCCGCCCAGGCTGCCGGAGACTTCTAGAAGGCGAGGAAACCTCAGCCCGGACGCGCTTGGAGGCTCCAGGGCGGCCTCCCCGTCCCGGTTTCCTTACCTTCAAGAATGTGATCAACGCCCTCAAACGCCTCGTCGACATTCCCACACTCCAGGCTCCTCTCCGGCTTGAAGAAGGAGTTGTGCTGGATCGCCTCCTAGGGGACAGAGCAGGTGGAGGCCGGGCGAGGACCTCACGAGGCCGGATCCCAGGGCCCCGCCCGGGACTCTGGGGCGACCCTGCTCCTCGGCTCGTGGGCCAGGAGGACGCCCGGCCGTCCTGGCCGCCAGGGCGCCGCGCGGGACTAAGCCTGCGCTGCGGGCAGCGGGCAGCGGGCAGCGGGCCGGCGAGGCGGAGGGACACCGGGCGAATGGCTGGCGCGGCTGTCGTTTTGGAAGCCACTCGGAGGCAGAGTCTCCCGTTGCAGTCGCCAAAGGCGTTCTCACGGACACCCCGCCGACCCTGCTCTTCCGGCCCCTGGGTCGGCACCGCCATCGACCTTGTTACCTGGATGGTCAGGATCAGCGGCTTCAGGTCTTGGTAGGCAATCTTCACCCGCGAGGCGGCTCGCCTTGCCTGGACCTCAGTCTCTGCGACCACAGCGCAGACCAGCTGACCCACACAGGACACCTAGACGCGGGAAGGCCTGGTCACCAAGGAGGGCAGGAGGCGGGGCCTTCTCTTCCATTCACCTTCTTCCTACCCCCTGCACAGGGCCAGCCACACACAACTGCCACCCCTCACATCTGCCCTTGACTGTAAGGTCAGCTGGCCTGCTGACCCCAGGTACCAGGGAATGTCATCCTTGTGCTGGGTCCTTGGCAGCGATGGCCGCAGGGGGCGGGAGTGACGCCGTCTCGGGGACAGCAGACACAGGCTCCAGGCCAAAGAGGCCCAGGTGGCCGGCAAGAGCCAGTCCTATGGCTTCACCTGTGACTGTCACACCACACATGGCATCGCTCTGCAAGGGGCAGCTCCTGCCTCCATGGACAAGGAGGACCAGGAAGTCACAGTTCACCTGAACCGGAGAGAGAAAGGTGACCCGGGAAGGAGATGTGATAACACAGCACTGCTGGTGTGCCCAGTTCTGCCCATGAAACTGTTTCTTTTCATGGAGAATGGAGACAGAGACTTACTAGCCAAGATGTACCCAAGCACAGAGCAGCCCCTTCCCTAGTGATGGTGGGGGGGCCAGGATGGGGGGGGGTGTTGGCAGCATCATTCACCTGCAGGTGGGGTTGTGGGCTAAAGAGGCCACACAGGGACCAGGGTGGAAAGTTAGTAGGGGGGAGGGGAGCAGAACCAAGGCTTGAGAAAGGTGAGATAATCTGGACTGGAAGAAGCCAACACTGCCACTGAGTTCTTTCCTCCACCTTATACTGTGATTCACAGCTCTAACTCATTTAAAAAATCTGCTTTAGGCTATTTTGTCTTTTCCACAGTAAGCATATAATAGCTTTATCACCCGAAAAAAAAGATTGCAAATGTTAAATCTAGCACACATACAAGCATGTTTGTTTGAGTGGGGTGTGGGAAAGGAGGAGAGAGAAGTGAAGCAAGAATGGCCGTGTGTTGAGTACTATCCGAGCTGGGCGGCGGGTCTGTGAGGTCACTGGACTATTGTCACTGTTGACAATTTCTACAAGGAAAGGATTCACAAAAGGCTTAAAGTGCTATACATGAATGTTCAAAAAGGAACTAAATCAGCAAAGGCAATCATGACAATGGCCCAGTCCTCTGCTCTCCACAGATGCCTGGTTTTCCCCCCTGGGACTGGCATTGTAGACGTGGCCCTAAGACCCTCATGATCACACATGCACACCTAGAGAGCAGGTGTTGCGCAGCCAGGATTGGTTTTGCTTGTCTAGTTAACATTTATGCAAATACCATAATTCTCATGGTCTCTGCCAGTGCTATACAGGCCCACCTTGGGGGAGCTTCAATCTTGAGTTCAAACTTTCTGTCACCAGGCTTTCATTTTTAGCAACTATATCTGCAAGGGAGAGCCAGAAGCAGGGACTGTATCAAATTATGAAGCTCTTTTGCGTAGACTGAACTGGAAGGTCTCAGTTATGCAGAAAACCTGCTAACTGATGTCTTTGCTGCATTTCTGATAACTTGAGATACAGTAGCCAAAAGCTTACACCATTTGTAACTTTTGTGTGATAATAATGCAATCATGCCACCTCTACCCGTTTTCCCTGTTTCATGGGAAGGCTTGTGTGGACTACACAGATGAATCAGACATGGGCTCTCACTCAAGGAATTACGTAGGTAGGAGAAAAACATAAAACATCAAAAACAAGCTTGATACAAAGTAGAAAAGGCACTAAAGGCCACTTTGTTTTCTCATGTAAACTTGTAGCTCCATCAGAACAGGAAGCCTCCTATCTTGTTCAGCTATGGTGATCAGACATAATAGTTGCTCACTTAAAAATGCCCATTGAATACATGGAAGTATGAATGAATGAGTCAGAAAAAGTTCAGAGAGGGAAGAAGAACTTCTGGATTAAAGAATAAGGAAAGGCTTCATAGTGCTGATACCATTTGAACTCAGACTTGAACTTTGGACACACAGACTGGGGCATTTTCAGGGAAGAGATTTGCAAATAAAAGTTATTTATCTTCATTTATTCATTCCTACTTGTTAGCAGCACACTGACTTACTACTAGAAAATATAAAACACCAAAATATCTTTTATGTAACTAGTCAACTTCTTTACTTATTTGGAAAATGAATATATTTGAATTCATTCAATATTAGATATCGAGTTTTGTAATAAGCATTCAAAGAACACTGGAATCTTTTATGATATGCCAAACTGGATACCATCTTTAAGAAAATACAAAGCACCATTAATGGAGGAAGTTGTTTTTCAAACAGAAAGCCAAATTGCAGTACCACATCTGTCGCCAGAATGTTCTCAGACTGGGTTAAAAGGCAGAAGGAGTTTACGCCACTAAGATGTTCTGCGGTCACGATGTCCAGCACGCCTTGCAGACTGAGAGCTTCTGAGAGATCCATTGACCTGGGGGTAATAGACAAGCAAAGATTCTCAGAGTAGCCTCACGGCCCGGGAATACAGTTAAGTGGAAAATAGGATACCAGAGAGATAAAACACAGCAGAGAACTGTCCATCAGTTCTCTGCCAAACAATTGGAGGAAAATTCCTGGGACAATAAAGTTATTTTATAGAGGGACAAATTGTAGCAAATGCTACATTTTGATCTCATCTCAACGCTGGTCTGCATATTGGATATTGCCAACAAATAGCTACCTTTTTTCTGCTATCACTTTTCACTGACATGACTTAGGTGAAAATGCAATCACTTCTGCCTACGGATGAGAACATCATCACTTACACGATCTTAGCGTGAGCCCTTGAACTGGTCACAAAAGTCAGGAAAAGCTCCTGGTCCACCACAGGCATGTCATCGCAGTAGATGGCCTCCCCTGTGGCATGCTTTGTACCAGACAGATGCATGATGGGGTGGCCAACCGGGTCCTGAGGCAGCTGCTTGGGGTCTACATTCTGTTTAATAAGTAACCAAGATATACTTTTTACACTGCTATAGAGAAAATAGGAATAAGCATATTATGTGCATCTCCTATGAGAAGATGGATATATAATTTACACCTAGACCAGAACACAGTCTTTTGAGAGAAAACAGTCACTATTTAATAATAACACCAGGAAAATCTGGTGTGGTGGTTCACACCTGTAATCCCAGTACTTTGGGAGGCTGTGGTAGGAGGACTGTTTGAGCCCAGGAGTTGGAGACCAGCCTGGGTAAAATAGTGAGACCTCGTCTCTACAAAAAGTTTAAAAAATTTGCCAGGCATGATGATGCATGCCTATAGTCCCAGCTACTTAGGAGGCTGAGGTGGGAGGATCGTCTGAGCCCAGGTGGTCGAGGCTACCGTGAGCCATGATCATGCCACTGCACTGCCTGGGAGACAGAGTAAGACCCCCAACTCAAATAATAATAATAATAATAATAAGCCAGGCTCAGTGGCCCAGCCTGTAATCCCAGCACTTTGTGAGGCTGAGGTGAGTAGATCACCTGAGCCCGCGGGTTTGAAACCAGCCCAGGGAACTTGGTGAGACCTCATCTCTACAATAAATCAAAAATTAGCCGAGTGTGGTAGCACATGCCTATAGTTCCAGCTACTTGGAAGGCTGAGGCAGAAGGATGGCTGGAGCCCAGCAAGTCAGCACTGGGGTGGCTGTGAGTATGCCACTGCACTCCAACCTGGGTGATGGAGTAAGACTCCAACTAAAAAAATAATAATAATAACAACAACAACAACAGGGCAATAAAACTATTGCAATAATTCAAACCAACAAACTTTTGTGTAGAGCCATAATGTTGTTTCAATGGCTTTTTTTTTTCATTTTTGAATATAGGCCCTGAACATCTCTAATGGAAATTCCATTCATGCAAATAAACACATTTAAATCTTTCTTCCTGATAATATGTATTTATGTCCTCTTGCTAATGCTCAGGTGCTTTTTGAGATTTTATTATTAAAATTATTTAATTGTATGTAAGCATGGCACATAAAATATTTTGTGGAAGAGTATGATAGTCTCATGACTATGTTTGTAGACAATATTGAGGGTATGACTTCAACCAGAATAGCCTCTTTTTTTCCTATCTTTGAGTGAGGAAGTCTAAGAAGTAAAATTTGATTCAACTTAGACCATTCTGGTAAAGAATGACGTCAAAGGTACCCGCAATTTGAGTAGTGATTCTGTAATGCTGTGATGTTACTCTTTTTTTTTAGAGATGAGGTCTCGCTATGTTGCCCAAACTGGTCTCAAATTCCTAGGCTCAAGTAATCCTCCTGCTTCGGTCTCCCAAAGTGCTAGGACTACAGGCATGAGCCATCACAGCTGGCCCATAATGTTACTCTTTTCTTAGAGACCCTTGGAGTTAAGTGTGTGAATCCTGGTTCTGTAAGTACCTTTTATGTGTTTCATTAGCCAAAGTGGAAACTAATCAACATCATGTGGTATTTCAAATATGAGAGTTGTTGGCTTTCCCAGGGTGGGGATTGTGAGAAGAACTGGAGGAAACAAGAAAGGAGGAGGGCGGGCAAGAGACTTGATTCAAATGAACTTGGTGGCAGGGTAAAACCTGGGGTTGAGGAGCCTGGGAGGGCGATCCTGCGCCCACCTCTCTCTCAGTCTTGTACCGGGTGTAGGGCTGAGGCCAGGCTCCCAGAAGCTTTTTCTGGAAGATGTGGGGTGAGGGGCACACAGGTCGGCCAGGGTGAGGGCTAGGAAAAAGCTGGGGCTGTCTCCCCACCCGAAGCCTACACTGCAGGCCACGGGGCAGGAGAAACTTCCTTTAAATGAGTTTTCCAGTGTCGGGCTACATCATATGGCAGAGGAGAAGAGAGAATAAGTCGCCAACAGAACACAATGCTGGCCAAAAACCCTTACTGAGGCCGTGAATGGAGGGAAGCTCATACCTGTAATCCCAGTGTTTTGGGAGGCCAAGATGTGATGATAAATTAAAGCCAGGAGTTCAAGACCAGCCTGGGCAACATAGCGAGACCTCGCCTCTGCAAAAAATTTTAAAAGCAGCTGGGAGTGGTAGCATGAACTTGTAGTCCCAGCTACTCAGGAGGCTGAGGTGGGAGGATCACTTGAGCCCAGGAGTTGAAGGCTGCAGTGAGCTATGATTGTGCCACTGCACTGGGCAACAGAGCAAGATTCTTTCTCTAAAAAATAAAAATAAAAAAACTTTTACTGCGAAGACGAAAAAGAAACCCCTAGAAGCTGACTTATTTTCAACTTAGTATCATTGATTACTAAGAGAGAGAAAAAAAAGGCGGAATACCTTTGCATTCAATGATCAGAATGTACAGTTTCAGAAAGCCTATTCGGTACATGTTAATAATGAAAGAGATACTTGAGTCTAAAATGGTATTTCATTTCACCCCTAGCTGCAGATCTTCCAGTTTCAAGGTGAGCCCGGGTCCAATGGAAGGGCTTGGGCCCTTGCTCTAGGAACTAAAGCAAAGTTGCCTGGGACCCCTCCCCCCATCAATAAGCACATCTCCTTTGCATGCAGCTGTTTTGCTCTCTTTTCCTTTCTGAACATCTGGACTTCATTCAACAAATCCCATGAACAGAAGAGAGCCGTGGGGAGCTTCACTAAGTGTTGCCGTGAAATGCCTCGTCCTCTAATGCCCTCTGCTGCTCACGAACCCAGGAAGCATGGTCCCTACTCCCCACCCACCTACCTGAGGGCCTCAGAAAGACAAACCCAGGACTGGAGACGTGGACCAAAGATTCTCCAGGCCAGGAATATTGGGAGGGAGGGGCAGAGTGGTATGTGGAATTTGAGAACATGTTCAGCATCATTTTTGGTGATTTGGAAAATCAACAACAGCAACACTCTATTGCCCAGGCTGGAGTACATTAGTGCAATCATGGCTCACTGTAGCCCCAAACTTCTGTGCTCAGGTGATTCTACTCCCTCAGTCTTCCAAGTAGCTGGGACTACAAGTGTATGCTACCGTGTTTGGCTAATTTGTTTTATTTTTTTTTTTTTTTGAGATAAGATCTCACTATGCTGCCCAGGTTGGTCTCGAACTCCTGGGCTCAAGTGATCCTTCTGCCTCAGCCTTTCAAAGTGCTGGGTTACAGGCATAAGCCATTATGCCCAGTTTTCAAATTTTTTTTTCAGTCAGTGGTGAAGAATCTACAGATTAAAGAGACCATACTCGATTACTCATTTCTGCTTAGTATGTGGCTGAAGATTCTGTGAAAGAATGTTGTGTCTTCAAACTGGTGATTTCTTGTAGCTGTGTCAAAATGCTTTCAAAGTAAACAAACTGGTTTAGGAGAAAAATGCTTGTGATAAGTGTGGGTGGAGCTCCCACAATGTGGACATTGGTATGTGAGAAAAGTCACAGGCAAACAAAAACAAAATTCCTCTGTGCAGGAGAACACTATGTCCAAAACCAGTTTTGCAATCAACAATAAATTCCTGTCCAACATCATCCTCCCTGTGAAGACTTTCAGTTTTATTTGGATGATTTAAATGCCTTAACTTGCTGTTATTGTCTCTTTCTGAGGTCTCTTCTATTGTTGAAGTGATGGGAGAGTATTTAAGCCAAAGGTTTCAGCCACCATATTTTACAGAACACCAGGGAAGACAGCAGGTGCTTTAAACTTTCCAAAGGATCATTTTCAATGGAGTTTGGGGTATTTGAATTTTAAACACATTGAACTTAAAACCTCAAGGACTATACACCAACTTCAACATTCATTATGACATACTGTAAACTTTTATAACTAAATCTAACAATAGTTTCAATGACTCATGCTTTAAAAAGTCTTTTCATGTTCTTGACTTAATAAAAACCTCAAGGTCAAGTTTCTTAACAATAATTTCAAGGAAAAACATGAAAATGTACCCTGTTTACCAAATAGGATTCTTCAGGCAATATTATTATAGTGTTGTGGCAGAAAATTCCATTTGAGGGTTATGAGAAATTCTATTCTAATAGTCAGTCTTTGTTAGGAGAACTTACAAATAGTTCTTAGAACTTATGTTTGATTTAACTCTAAAATGAAACCCACAGAAAAGCCACTTGCAGAATATGGGCAGAGGGATAAAAATCTCTTCCCATTCAGATAAAGGCACCAGTACAAAACCCTTAAAATCAAAATCAACATTCTTCTCTAAAATTACCACTGCTAGATTTGTTTTTTGTCACAACCCTTCACTGATTTTGACATTCTAACTCCCACAAAAGGAGGCCGTGGGTTCATCAGAAGGGGAGCCAGGGCTTGACAAGCTTGAGAAGGCACTAGAGCCCAGTCCCTGAGTTTTTATAAACAAAAATCCCGTGAACCTGGTATGTGCAAGTACTCCAGCGGTGTCTGGCATGAAGATCTTCTAAAGCACTCTCATTCTTTTCCACCAGGCTGGGATGGTGATCTGGGTCCTGAAAAACAGAACCCTTGGAGAGATTTCCAATGGTTGAAGATGTGGCAAATGGTCTTGGAAGGGGTGGGGCAGGGAGTGATTCTCAGCAAGTGTCCCTTCTCTGAAGACTCACACGTATTCAGTGCTTACCCTATGAAGACCCCTGGAAGGACATGCCACTCCGTGACTCAAGAACATGCTCTGAAAGGGATGTACATCTCCTACCCATCACGAATAGCCAAATGCATGTGGTCCACGATGGACTCCCATCTCCATGTTCGCTATAATTCTCTCACATGCTTTCCCAAGTCACTTGAGGATTTACAAACTGATACGACAGGAAGAGAAAAGCTGAGTATATAAAAGGGAAAGGAAGAGAACATGGAAAACAGGGAAAAGTCAGAGGCAAATCATGAATTAGCATAAATCTGCCTTGCTGACTGGGGAGAAAGAGGACTGTGGGCTGCATCCTGGCCATCACCATGGGAGGGCTTCCAGGCCCAGGAAGGATACTCCTTAGGACAGAGGATCATTTGGGTCATTTGGATCTCTATACAAGACTTTAGACAGTTCACCTGATGATGATTTGTTATAATTTTAATAGAAAATAAAGCCAACAAGACTAGGGCGCGGTAGCTCAAGCCTGTAATCCTGGGAGGCCAAGGCGGAGGAATCACTCGAGCCCAGAAGTTTTATCAGCCTAGGTAACATAGTGAGAGCTCATCTCTACAAAAAATAAAAATAAAAAAATTAGTCAGGTGTGGTAGTGCCTGCCTGTAGTCCCAGCTACCCAGGAGGCTGAGGCAGGAAGATTGCCTGAGCCCTGGAGGTCAAGGCTGTGGTGAGCCATGATTGTGTCACTACACTCCAGCCTGGGCAATAGCGTGAGATCCCCCCAAAAGAAAAGAAAAGAAAAGAAAGCCAACAAAGAGAGGAAGTAGAATAGAACGGAAGATATAAGACAACAAGGCGAGAGTTTTTAATTATATCACTTGATTCAGCAAGAAATCATATAGTATGCTATCAAATGAGGGGCCTACAATTGTATTTTTTTTTTTTTTACTTTTGATTACCTGGTGCCAGCATGCCACTTATATATGACTTGAATCTTCCATTCTCAAAAATTCTACACAAACCTTTCTAGATCTTAGTTATTCTCATCTACAATAGAGATTCCCTCAAAAGCATGATAAAAGGGAACTTTTTGTCTCTCATCTTAAGTGATCCTACTAATGTCTACACCACAGGAAGACAGTTCTTGGCTTCGAGTCCAGCTTGGTCAGCTGTTTGTATGTCGCAAGGGGTCAGTGAGGCCAAGAGAGTTCCCTCTGGGTCTAGCAAATTCACTCAGAGTACTGGTTTTTGCCATGCCCTCTCTAGCAACAATCTTGTAGCTCCAATTGTTTACCATTAGGGAGACCAGGCAAAAGGGTGCCTGGGTCATTTCTACTGCAATTGTGACGACTATCACGGAGCTCCTTGCAAGTACTTGGAGCCATAGTGAGTAAGCTCTTGTCCTACAAGGCCACATTCCACAACAGTCTTGTGTGGGAACTGTCACTGTCATCTTATGGGTGAGGAAAATGAGGCAGACCCCGGAGACGAAAGCCAAACCCACGAAGGTGAACCTCACTGTGAAGGCCCTAAAACTTCAAGGGGAAGAAACGCTTCACCGAGGGAGAAGACATACAAATCATTTGCCAGTTTTCTCAACTTTAAAAAAAATTTGTGCATGTTGCTACTGCTTTTATTAACTACCTGCCCCAGGTGTCTCCCGAAGCCGGCAGCTCCGCTGCTGCTGGCCAGACCTTCCCCAAGACTTGGAAGCCAATAAATACTCTTACTAGTGGGAATTTTACACAAAAGGGGCTTACACGAGAAAGGGGGCTGAGCTGCTCTGTGCGTTTGTCTGCACTGTGTCCTCTCACAAAACTCATCCCTGTAGCCCTCGGAGCAGGAGTGTGCTCTCATGAGTCCTCATAACACCCACGAGGAAGGGCATTTCCCACAGTAGATCAGCCTGACAGCGTGCCTCCAGAGCCTGACTTGCTAAATTTGATTCCCCTGTGAGCCACACTGCAGAGAATAGCCCCAGTGTGTCCTAACAGACTAACCACTTGCTAGGACCAGTTTTCTAAACATGATCTAGAAAAGCAACAGGTCAGAAACAACATCACTGAGTGGTGTTCAATGGAATCCCATACTACTCCGTGCCTTTCCTGCAATTCTCCAGACTCACATGCATCCACAGATAGGCTGCTGGCTTCCCAGCAGGGCCACATGTTTCTAACTGGGATGTCTTTTCTATTCTAGAGCTGTTCGGTGAGGGGGAGTTGTCTATATTTTGGGTGTCACTGTCACCCCCAGTTCCACTTACCATCATCCACAGAATCTGTGACACCTCCAGGTAGAACTTGAAGAAGAAGCTGATGATGAGAGTCCTCCTGAATGCCACCTTCCCACCCGGAGCAGAGCCTGGAAGGGAGACTTCGTCCAGGACCAGCCTGCATGCTGTATCCAGCATCTCTTCATCCCAGCGCCTGCAGAGTCCAAAGAGAAGAATCCTAGCTGACGGGACTTGTGACTTCTCAGCTTCAGCTAATGTGGAAGACAAGCAGCTACAGCCTAATACAGCAAACACAAGTACAAGCTCCAGAGCCAGGCAACCCCAACTCCAGTCAGACCACCAGACCCAAGGTGTCTGGCCCAGGTCTCACCATGACCTCATCTATAAAAGGGGAATAAGAGTAGAACCTGCCTCATGGAGTGATCTTGAGAAATAAGTGCCAACTTGTATAAAATCCTTAGCACAGGAGTAACTAACCCTTATATCAATAGGACACACTACATGCCAGGTTCTGCTTTAAGCACTTCACATGTATTCACTCATTTCATCCACTTGAGGCTAAAGCAACTCCATCTTGGATGTTGATCTGCCATGTTGACTCCTGATGAAGCCCATTTCTGGGAAGGCCTCTAAGATTTCCAGTTCATCTATTGTTCCTTGTGTAAGAACAGATACTGACCATCAATCCTGCCTTTCGGTCAAACAACCTTGATGTTATCATCCTTCAGCTGTTCCATATGTCCCTTCTGAATCATCCTTTCTCTGTGGTATATAAGCCCTGGTTTGGGAGGTGATGGCACGGGGATCCAACTTCTTGTCTCACTGCTGCCCAAGACAGACATGGCTTCTGTTCGTAAGTCCCTATTAAATGTTTCTTACTAAGAAACTGAATAAATCAGCCTCTTTCTTCAGCCTCTCAGGTTCCTTGGGCTTTAAAGGCAGGAACACATAGACCTCTCCACCATGAAACACCTCTCAACTGTCCTAGAAAGTAGATATGATCACCTGTCTTTGATAGATGGGGAAACTGAGGCACTGGAGGTTAAGTAAGCTGACTGAGATCACACAGTTAGTAGGGGTACAACCGAGACTTGGACCAGGCTGTCTGGCTCCTTCAAATCTTAAAGGTCCTGTTTAATTTTAACCACTGTTCTCTGTTACTTCTCCTGAAGTAGCAGCTGTTACTTAGTAAATGCTCAAGAGATATTAGCTATTAGCATTACCTATAGAAATTGGAAGTCAGATGAGCAAATGCATCCGCAATTTACTATAAAACACACTCATATAATCTATTTGTCATTATGGTAAATTATTCTTCCACAATAAAGAATGCACATTTGTACTATTAGGAGATGGGCACACTCTCCACACCCCCCACAACACACACACAGGCTATGTGATGCCCACTTCAGAACTCACTAAAATCAAGGCATATGGAGATAATTCTAAAATTTTATTGGAATCTCCTGCCCTTAAATAGAAAGGTCCTAAGCAATTTTCTTCTTGTAATGACATCTCAGCATGAAAAGGGCCGTGCCATTGCCTGGAGTCTACAGAGCTGATACCTTACCTCCCGATGAGTTTCTGGCAGGAATTCTTGGCACAAATGGTGGTTGGACCAACACCTCCATATGAGATGGATAGCTCTTTAATGATGCCGTCTCTGCCTCCAAAGAAGACCCTCATTCCTGCGTTGACTATCGCTAGTGCATTCTGCTGCCGCTGGGCCTGACGGAAGGCTGACACAAACTCCCACTGAAAGAAAAAGGTAAGTGGCACATGTAGAAACATGCTGAGTGACAGCGATGCACTAGGCCGTTCATGTATGTTGCCTCATTTGGCCCCTAAAATTCATGATGAAGTCCTAATCCCCAGTACTTGAGAATGTGATCATATCTGGACATAGTCTTTAAGGAGGTCATTAGGGTGGGCCCTAATCCAAAATGGTTGGTGTCCACGTAAAGAGAGGAAATTGGACAGAGACAGATACAGAGGGATGACCATTTGAGGGGAGAAGATGGCCATCTACAAGCCAAGGTCAGAAGTCTCTGAAGAAACCAAGCCTGCCGACATCCCTGAATGTTAGCCTTCTAGCCTCCAGAATGTCGAGAAAACATATCTCTATTGTTGAAGCCACTCAGTGTGTGGTTCTTTGTGATGACAGCCCTAGCAAACTGATGCATCTCTTAGACAGATTTGATTATTTCTATTCTACAGATGAGGAAGCTAAAGCTAAGAACGGTTCAGTGACCAGCCCAGATCTTGAAACCAGGATTCAAACCTGAGGCCACCTGACTCCAAGGCTCTTGGTTTTTTTCCACTAAGTTCTATTGCAAATGTATTTTTTAAGCTTCTTTCAAACCCTAAGATATAGGTAGGGGTATGTTTTTCATGTCTTATTTATAGAAAAAGCCTCGTGGGACAAATAATTTTAGAAAATCTTTTAGAAAGTAACTTTAGAGTTTCTGGTAGGGAGTGTGGGGGGTGCAGGAAGAGAGAGAGAAAGAATGGCAGTGATCAAGGTCTCCTGAGTCCAGGAGTGATGGGGGGGTGCCCAACACAAGTAAAGGGGAACTATTCACCAGTCCTCTTACAGGGACCTCACGCCATTTCCTGAAGCTGAACCTTTAACTCCCCTGTTGACACTCAGTCGTTTTTCCTTTTTTCCCCTCCCT